ATGGCCGGTTGGCCGCCGGGAGCTGGAGGCCATCATTTGGGGGTGGTTTTATTTTGGGTTCGCTGGCTGAACCCAGCAGAGAGCTGCCCCGGCCTCACACCAATAAGCACCGAGCCTCGGGCATTGCAGCTTAGCAGCGCACTGCGATTTTTATTGCGTTTGCTTTCTCCAGCCTCACCTCTGCAAAGGAAACGTTATTGTTTTAGTTCTGTTACCAGCATCGACCCGGGATCAAATTTAGAATCTACCTCTGCTTCTGGGATAATCCGATCAGGGTGGTTCGTGGCGGATGTTGTTAATGCAATTCTTTCTCGCTGGACAGATGATTTTAAAAACAACTGAAATCTGCTTTTAAACAAAAAAAAGGATTGTAGAGGGCTTTCTCTCTGGACATGTGCTTAGCGTAAGGGCTGCGTCCTGATTTGGCTCTCTGTCCAGATGCTCTCTGTAGCTTGGTGCGAGGTCTGGGAGAGCTGGGAGCAGGGTTTGGCAGGTGACAGTCCCTCTCCCTCTGGAGCAGCCCCTGTTTCCCTGCTCCAGGGCCACCAGTAACCGAGCCCCACCCCCCTGGTGGATCCAGAAGGGCTGGAGCAGGGCGGCTCGGGGTGGGGGGATCCGCAGGGGTTGGAGCCAGGGCGGCTCTGGGTGGGGGGATCCAGAGGGGTTGTAGAGGGGTGGCTCAGACCTGCCTATCCCCGGGCAGCGGGGACGCTGCCGATTGGAGGCACGTGGGTTTCTGGCACTTGTGAACTGGTGAATTGAAGCATTGCAGTGTTTTCATGCCCGTCTTTTAAGGAGCGGAGGGAGCCGAGCGACTGTCGGAGGCTTTTGCAGCTCCGGTTCCAGCTGGTGAGAAGGCTCTTTGCCTTGTGCCACCCGCGCCTCTGGCTTCGCACCGTCTGCCACCAGCTCCTCACCCTTCTCACTTTGCTCTTTGCTTTAGATCAGCTGCGATGCTGCGGTCTCCGCGCCCAGAAGAGGACTCCGCATCCAAAGTCACCATTTCCAGCTAGATGCACCCGAAGTGACCGGCTGCCATGGAAACGGGCTG